GAAGAAACCCAAACAGAAGCACAGTTGTAGCTCAGTGGTAGAGTACTTGCTTAACTTGTGTGAGGCCTTGGGTTAAATCTCTAGCAACACACACACACACACACCCGAGCGCGCAAACAGGAGGGAAAGAAAAACAAAGTCTGAGTTGAACTGGGTGTGGCGGCACACACCTGCAATTCCCGTTCCGTATCTATTATATACAAGGCTGAGAGGCGGCAGGAAGCAAATTCGAGGGCAGCCTGGTCATGTAAGGTGACTTTCTTTCAAAATAAAAAACAAGTGGAGTGTAGCTCAGAGGGAAAATGGTCACCTAGCAGGTGTAAGGTCTGGTGTGGAGGTGAAGGATTATATCCGGGTCGGCCAATTACTTGCTTTGGTTAATTGGTGTTTTTTGCAGCACTGGGACTTGAGTTTAGAGTGTTCCCACTGAGCTACACCTCCAGCCCTTTTAAATTCTGAGACAGTGGTCAGGAGCAATGGCTCATGCCTGTAATCTCAGCACTAGGGAGGCTGAGGCAGAAGGGTTGCTGTGAGTTTGAGGCCAGCCTGGGCTACAAAGTGAGTTCAAGGCCTGAACTGCATAGTGAGACTCTGTCTCAAAAATCAGTTTTTTGAAACAGAGTGTCATTCATTTGGTAAGTTAACCAAGCTGAGCTTGAACTAGTAATTCTCATGCCTCAGCCTCCTAGCAAGCCGGACCTATAGGCATGACCACCATACCTGGTTTGGCCAACTGGTCTTTAACAAACATGGTACACGCCTTGGGTTTGCCTTAAGGCTTCATCTCCACTGAGCTTGCAACCCTGAAGTCAACATACGGTCTAGCAGTCTCATATTTTGCCTACCAGAAGATGCGAACCCATATGGTGGAGAACCAAGGCACTAACAGCCTATAGGAGGGGCTTCAACTTACCACAGACGCAGGGAACAGCATGCTATGCACATGGAATAGCAGCAGAGATCAGCTCAGCTGCTCAGACCAAAGAATGACTCAGCACACTCAAGGACTTGGAGACTATAGTAGCTGTTTTATGTCACTAGGTTTTGGGAAGACTCAACACTCAGAAAAAGTTGAAATGCAATCTGACAAGTCAGTCAGATTCTTAGATGAAGGATTCAGATCGATTCTCCACTTATAAACTTTTGGCAACCACAGACTCTCCATCAAATGGTTTTTATTTTTTAATGCAGATACCAGAAAAATGTTTCCCAAAACAACTACCAAACTAAGAGACTCTTTTGGAGATACTGGAGTTTTCAGTACTATTTATGTGATATGATGGGCAGGATTTGTTCTGCATACTGTCAGGCGGAGGCAGGAAAAGGTGCAGAGTGGACAAGATGTGACGCCCAGGAGGTACTGCTGAAGTTGAATGTATGTGTCTGTTTATTACACTATTATCACTACTTGTGTGTGTGTGTGTGACAAAGTGAAAGAAATTACTAGTTTAATAGTGAAAAAAAAATCCAAAGTGAGAAGTAACAAAGCAAAAAAAAAAAAAAAAAAAAAAAAAACAAAACCCTTCATACCTATGAAAGCAAGAATAAGAGTTAATCTTACAAGGCAGAAATAAAATCATTTTATTTTTCATTACTAAATGGGTAAAATTATTTACTATAGAATTTTAAAATATTGCCCTTTCAATCTCTCATGCTCTTCCTTTCCAGACTGTGCAGAACAGTGAGAAGGGCTCCTCTGTCATCGAAGAATACTCCACCAGCACCCACAAGCCAGCCCTGGAGCGAGACTCAGAAGTGTGTCTCTGTCCCTCAGGCCCGAAGGGGACGCAGGACGCTGCCCGGAAGGAGGTGGAGCCTGGCACACGTGCACTGACACCAGCCTCAGCAAAGATGCCGGCCAAAGGAGGAAGGCATGTCCCGTGTCGTGTCTGTGTGCTATTATCCAGAAAACATAACGAAGGTTCGTCAGACTCTGTGCTTTGGTAACCTACATCCCCATTACTACGTTCAAAATCTACAGTGAGTATGAATGAGAACTACTCACTGTCAAAGAAAGCAGGAAAAATGATTTCAAAATATCTTTCCCAAACAGAGAATTCTTCATGTGAATCACAGAACATGGGATCAGTTTTTAAATTTTCTGTTTAAGGTGCCAGAAAAGGTGTTACAACTCTTGTGAAAATCCAGATCTATGAGGATTTTAGATTTAGGAAGAATTTAAGAGTTCAGAACCAAATGCTAAAATTATCTATAAAGTGGTTATGCTAGAATAGTTAGGAATGATGTATTAAGGTTTTAGTGGTGTATGGGGAAAATTAGCATGCAAAAGTGTGTCGGCATTCGGTTTCTGTAACAAATACCAGAGGCAATCAACCTAAAGAGAAAAGGTTTATTTTGGCTTAAAATTTTAGATGTTGAAACAAGGCTTCAAGATCCTTTGACGGGTAAGTGGGAGTTGCTCTGTGGCAGAGAATCAGAGGGAAGTTGAGGGAAAGCGAGCCATTTAGTTTGCCCCTCATCCATCATTTTGACACAGGGATTGTACGTGCTCCATGGGTACCACTGTGATGTTTGGTACACCAGGGTAAGTGGATCCCTCTGCAAACATCTGTCCTTTTTCTATGACGAAATCACTCAAAATCTGTTCTTCTAGGTTGTTCAAAATATATTGAATGTGAACACTATATAGCCACCAGTACGTCCATGCAAGCCGTTCACTGACCCGCCCCGCCCTGCCTCCCGCTGCTCTCCCGGCCTCTGAGCACCACTGCTGGGCTCCAGCCTGGGAAGGCCCCGCGGGCTGTGGCGGGGGGCGAGTTTGCGAGTTACTCTGTCACACACACTCTGTAAGGGTAATGGCTCTGCACTGCTCCCACATTGGACGGACGCTTATCACTTCTGTGCCCTTCCTTCTCTGGAATGTCCCTTGCCATGGTAACTTTTAGCATTTTCCCTCAAATTGTCATCTGCTATGAATGCTATGACTGACTGTGGAAAATTGGCTTCATTGTCATTTCATCCAAAGCTGAGCCATGGTGTTTTCTAGGAGCTGATTAACCTTCTGATATTAAAAACCAGATAATTAAATCCCACAAAGCTGGGGATTTGCATGCTCGACGACAGCAAATTGCCAGGCTTTCTGGCAGGGTCAGCGGCGCTTGGCCTCTGGTTTCATCTACTGTTGGTTCTCTCTCTTCAACATTTGACAGGCGCAGAGTATCAAGCCTGTTGAAAGCGGCAGTGTAGTTAACTGAAAAACAAAAAACCCCGAGCTCCCAAACCTACCAACTTTTAAAAGGCCTTCGTTGACTGTTTCCCTGCCACACAGCTTCACAGAAGAAATCATCCCGTTCCCTGCTGCAGGATAAATGTTATTTCTGGGCACACCTTTACTCAAAACTGTGGTTTTCCTGGTATATTTCGAAGAAAAAGGGACTCTTGCACAACAGTTCTCAGAACTTTCAGTTACTTCTTACTCCAATGCTGCATGGAAGGTGCCCCACTTATTCCCAAGCAACACTACAGCATTTATTTGTTTTTTAACACTGCCCTAAGTCATTGGTTTTTTGAGGATTTGCCAAATTTCCCAATTCACCAAAACAAACCCCAGTTAAACTTGCAAACCTTGAGTTCTTGCATTTTCAAGAGACTAAAGAGGCCTTTCTTCTCTCTTCAACCATCTACATTCCAGGCAGTTACAGGTCACTCTGAGAGCACGTCCCACGCCTACGAGGCACCTCATACGTTAACTGTGCTTGTGGCCAACACTGTGCCAAGCAGTAATTTTAGTTTTTTCTTTTAACAATAGCGAATACGCCCTTGTTCCAACAGCAGAGAGAAAGTGTTTTTAAAAAGGACTTCTTAAGTTTTGGGAAGGAGTCAAATGCTCAGGTAAACACAGCTTCAATTTTAAAAGATCTTAAGTCTCTTTAAGGGGCTGTAAAAAGGGCCCATTTCCAAAATCACATATTTTTAGATATAAAAGCTAAATTTTGTATCTCAGTTTTTCTTGGGATCCACAGATAAACTGTATGCTAAAGGTGAGGTTCTTAAACAATATTTTGAGTAGCTGAAGCATCAGACACTGCCCTGAATATTTACTGCCGCCACTCTAGTTCCAGTTAGGAAACGCAGAGGGAGGGAAGCCGTGTTCTATGTGGAGGACAAGTGAAATCAAGGGAGAAACATGCAAAAATTATTCATTTGACAGCTTAGCTGAAGTCATGAAAGGAAGAATGTCCACTTAATATGATTAGATTAGTTTCTCTTATATCCAAACACCCGTAACACTGTCAAATCATGAGAAAACCATCAGGTAAATCTAACAAAGGCACATTATATAAACCCTTGACCAATAATATTCTTGAAATTGTCAAGGCGATCAAAAACAAAGGAAGCCTGAGCAAGTGTGATAGCCGTGAGGAGCAGAAGGTGACAGGGAACTACTACGTATTGTGGGAGCCTGGATGAGTTTTGGGAAAGCAAAGACATCAGGAAAAAGGAAACCTGAATAAATTATGAGGTTTTCATTAATAACATAAATGACAATGTACCAAACTAAGAATGCAAGATGCTGAAGAAGCTGTAACGGGTGTGGACTAGAGGAGAATCTGGACTATTCTGCAGTGTTTTCTGTAAACATACTCTAAAATAAAAATTTACTGGAAGAAAAAGTGAGAACATGTTGCCTAGTTTTTAAAACGCTATTTAAATTACAAGAACAACAGGACTACACAACTGGTGAACCCAGGAGTCCAGAGATACCCGAATAGTTTCAGCAACTTTAAGAGGAACAGAAAAATCAGCCGTTTCCTTTTTGTCTGGCCACATCAGAATGCATTACCTGCCCGAGAACTCCCCTGGAAGACGCACCGCGCCATCTGCGGTGAAGTTTACAGACTAATCGGAGGGCACGAGGACAGCTGCCAAAGTAGATTCCTGTGCCTTAAGTCACGACATGGAATTTTGTTTTTGGGCTTTAACCCATCATCTCTTTTACATTTACCAAACTGTTCATTAAATAACATCATAGTATCAAGTCATTTATAAATTTTTATTAAATGTCAGTAATTTTTACAAAGCAAATATTAATAGCAAAAGGCAAAAATTTTTTGGCAAAATGTTTACAAGAGCAAAAAGCCTTAATGAATAGCAACTCATTTTATAAAATCAAACCATCCTTTCCATTTCTAGACCTCCTTTAGAAATAACTTATTGCCAATCCTGAACTAAAGCACTGACCAAAAAAAAAAAAAAGAAAAAAGAAAATTTACAACAGTATCATATAATGTGCTCAGTTCTTGGAAGGTTACAAAAAACGATATACGTAAAAAGCCCTAAGCCACAGATACTTTTATACAGAGCTAATACAGATCATGTTTTGTTAGGTACAGTATGTAAGAGGTTGTAACAAAATATACTTTTGGATAAGGCTTCTTGTGATAAATGAGCTCTTACCATGGAAGAATAGAGAAAAACCACTTAAAACATTTTGCGATTCTGCTTTCAAGTAAGAGATAAAGAAAGGGTAAATGGCATAGCTTGTTGAATTGTTCCATAAACTTAACAAGGATTAATCCCTTTCCTCGATCTCTTATTTCTGGTGTCATCAAACATGTAGAGACTGAAGATGAACCATCAGTTAGTATGGTAAGAATACTATAAACAAGCTTTTAAATTACAGACTAACATCACATACCAAGTAGTTCATTGTTATCAGTGTATTCACGAGGTGAAAATTTTTGTGCTAGTATGGGTCCCAGACTCCAACCCATCTGTATAAATCCACCATTAACAGATTTGTAGGTCACAACTGTCAACTCACAAAATATAGACTTATCATTAATGCTTTAAAAAAAATCAATATTCTGCATTAAGTTCTGGCATTTGAAACCAGGTGGTTATACCTGATGGTGAACATATTAAGTACTAACTATACATTCATGATAGACATAATAATGCTAGTAGTACAAACACTGCACTTCACATGATGTTAATAACCACCTGCCAGCCCAAGGCCAGTATCTACTTGATGGCATCGCAATAGCCAAAGGACAACTGATTGGAAATACTCAGGTTTAGGATAAATTTACTAAGCCCTAACCTCGTACCATAAAGTAACAGGTGTGTGCTGAAACACCTGCTTCATGTGGAACACGGAGACACATCCACATCCACCTGCAATCTCTCCCCTCTTCATGGTCACTAGATTCTAGACTGAAATGCCAACTGGTATCCTAGCATTAAAGGAAGGAAAGAAGGAAAGGAGGGAGGGGAAAAGAAAAAAAACCCTGTACTTCTAGTCAAGTAGCACAACACAAAAGTATCACGCTATTACTTCACATGCTGAAACGATGGGAAAAGACCAGTACTGTCAAGATTTCCTAATGAAAAGGCAAGTGCAAAGCTTGTTCCTGATTCCTCAAATACAATAAAGAAATGAAAGGGTAACAGAGTGACTTCTCTAGATTTATTAGGGAGTTTGTTACAAATGTTTGACTTGGCTTACCAGGCATGATTCGATGGATTCAAACAAGAAATTAGGAGTTAACACTGCTATTTAGCCTTCTCATCACACATACAGAAATAACACAGCTACAAACGGAATGGAGAGACTCTAACTTCAAATGGCTTGTTTGTGGTTTTGTCTGAATATATCATTGAATAATGAAAGCACCAATTTGGGAGTTTCTCAAATAAGGATTTGAGTTTCAGAACATAACAGCATAATTTGGTAACTTTATTCTTTATATAAGGCCTAACTGATCATGTGTAGTAAGGTTGAAAACTGCATTTTATCATAAGCAGAAGATACAAATATTTAGGTATACACTGCAAGTTAAGATTTAATTACAGGGCACGAGGTTTATGTTCAATCTACATCAATACTTTTAATCATTTCTGGCATTAGGGTGTCGCACTGCTTTCTATTTAAACCAACCACTGCCACCACTGCCACCGACAGAGCAAGGATTTCTGTGAACAGCCTGAATTTGTAAGATTAACCACAGGACTTTCTCTAAAGTGTTAGTCAATACAACTTAAAACAAAAATAACTTCTTCCCTCACTGTATTTCCTCAGTTGCAGCTGTACTCCAGCTGCCAAGTACCCTTATCATGCGATATTTAAATGAAGATTCAACTGAGTACAATATTTGGCAGAAAGCAACAATGGAGGCTGCTAAAATAATACTTAAGCGGTAAAGGCACACCTTGAATTACTTAGATCTTTAAAAAAATCTGAAAAAAACCTCCCTATAAAAATTAAGGTCTGAGTTGTTGATCTTTGACTTTATAAGGCAACTATGTATACTCTAAATTTCTTCAACGTCAACAAAGACGTGTGATATTTCTTCTGATCAATGAGAAGGCATGCAGAATTAAGAACAGAAAGGAACACAGAAGAATTAGGCACATTTTGTTCCAAATCATAGCCAAAGACTTGGAAAACTGTAACAAAGAGCTTTAAATCTGAGTTACTTTTTAGAGACCAAAGTAGGTGAAAATTATAAGCACCTTTTTAGTTCTGATCCTTAAATTTCATCTCCCTTTTTATATATAATAGTGGTATTTCAATTAAAAAAGGACCTGGTTTTCATGATACAGTTAAAAGACTTCTTTCAAATGGTTTAAAAATATACTACACAAAAACATGTGGGATAAAGTCTTTGAATCTTACAATTGTACTGAATGTCTAAAGAAGCCTGAATAACTTAAAAACAAGTAACTTATTGCCTCAAAATATATTCTAGCTTTGATTTTTTAAGATAATGGTGACTCTGAGACATTATGTGCATCAGAAGAAAATTGCAGATACCCAAATGACAGCATATCTGGTTGTGGTTTAACATTTCTTGGTCACAGTCAAAATGGAGAAGCTTGGCTATTTCTGCTTTGTCAGGCAATATTTATTGTTATCACAGACCTTAAATATAACTTAAGCAAACCTAAGTGTCCACTTTCTACAGGGGACTGATTCCAACCTTCAATGGAGTTAAATGTGTTGGCCATTCAATAACTATTTGCTAAATTTACACAAACCATTAAATAGACCAAAAGTTACCATGCACATATTCAGAGACAGCATTCATTAGCACTGGGTTACGCTAACCTGTGAACTTAAACAGTGTATTCTTTTGGGCAAAAGCCTCTAAATGTAGAGCTATTTAAACATGCATGAATTATATTCTGAATACTAGGATGTTGGGCAACATGCCTGAAGCTCATGTATACCAAGGCATGAACACACTGGAAGTCATATGGCTATGACAGGGAAACCTCAAATACAAGAAAAGTTAGGCAAGCCAAGAACAAATCCCAGTTAGCACACTGAGAGGCCCAGCTCTCACACCTGACAGAAAGACATAACAAAAGCCATTTACTTAGACAAACTGGGTGATCCACAATGCTGACCAATCTTTCAAGTTCCAATAAAACACCTGAGAACACAGTCAGCTCTACGGTAAACAGGTATCACAGTCATAATCACAATTTTCAGGAAAAGCAGAAAAGCCGTTAAGACTTTGCAAAATGTCACCAGTCTTGTACATATGTATCTCTAATCCAATTTTATGACTACACATAACCTAACAGGCAATAGTTTTAGTACTGTAAACCAGTCACTCTGCTGAATTTACTATGATATAATCATTTCATACTCAACAACGCTATTTCATGGACATGGTTTAAATTTGGTAAGCACTGAGGGGAGGGCCAATGTCATCATCTTTAGGTGTGAACTGAAAAGATTATTCTTAGAAGCACTCTGAAGACATTTAAAATGCTCAACCAAGTTGGCATCTTGTAAATAGCTATACCAACATGTACATGCTGTATGTTTTAGTGACACACCAAGAATGAAGAGGAATCTCAAATAGTATCTTCCTGAATAGTCTGTCATGAAAATACTGCCCTTGGCAAGCTTCAAATAAACCAAAGAATCCCTTAAATGCTACAGTTTGGAGTTGTTGGGGACTGGACAGGGAGCAAAAGAAAGAGAGATGCAAAACTGATTTCCTGAGTAAGGAGTGAAATCAGCTAGACAGGACTTAAAAGCAACACACACTGCATTCTGACAGTTACGTTTGTTATTAAGTTGCTTGCAGTTTATAGTTGCTATAGTGGCCAAAATATTTCACTTATGGCACATTAAATTACATGATAATCAAACATTAAAAAGGCAAACTGTATTTGATTCATTACTTTTGATCAAAATAATTATCTCTAGTACTTCCTTGTCTTCTGCTCCCTGGTACCATTTGTCAACGCTTTCACATCAGATCAGAAAACCTTATGTAAACTTTAAAACACTAAGAACATTACCTTCAGAAACCACAGAAATTTAAAAAACAAAAAGTAAAACAGCAACAATAAAAAAACCAGCTGTTGTGTATGTAAGCACTTACAGACATGAAGGCTGTGCAAGCTGACGGGCTGCCAGCCCGCAGACCTCACTCCTTCCAGCAGCCCCTTCACAACAGCCATCCGTAAGGCAGGCAGTGGATCACTGCTCTGGGGAAGGCACACTGAAGACCTCCTGTTTCAGAGCTGAGTATTCCTAACCTCATTCCTCAGGTACTTAGGATGCTGTCTACGCCTGGCCCTCGAGGAGGACTGTCTGAAAAGTGGAAGAATGGAAAGCCTGACATATGCCTAGTCTGTAGCTGGCCAGATTACATGTAGACCGAGTGGAGCTAAGATGAAACTGATCAAAGCCAACTATGTTATCCAGCAGCTTTCAGCCACAAACCGAAGGCGCAGAAGGACTGATTACCTAGAAATCAAGATTTTTCTACTTCTTGTTGTAAACTGCTATTTAAAAAAATAAAACATAAACAGAAAACAATGGAAACCACAAAAAGGTATTAAAATAGAAAGTCTTTTGTATATCACTGTAGCATCAGCTGCTTGAGGTTATCATGAAGAATAGTATCCTTCACATCCCGGAAAACAAGGCGGATGTTCTCCGTGTTGATGGCGGTGGTGAAGTGGTGGTACAAGGGCTTCTGCTGCTGGTCCCGGCGTTTGTTCCGGAAACATTCCACCAGGAATTTTTGGACGTCTCTTAAGCAGTGTGGATCGCCTTCAAATTCTAGGAAATAGTCTTTGATGCTCACAACTTGTACTTTCTCCTCAAGCAAGTCTGTCTTGTTTAAGAAGAGAATTATTGAGACATTACTGAAAACTCGGTTATTGACAATTGTTTCAAAAATGTTCAGAGATTCTGTAAGGCGATTGGTCAGTCGGTCCTCCATAAGCACCTGGTCAAATTCACTTGACGAAACAAGAAAAAGTATTGATGTCACACTGTCGAAGCATTCAAACCAACGTTTCCTTTCTGATCTTTGACCACCTACATCAACCATTTTGAAAGGAACATTTTTAATTTCAAAGTCATACTCATGAATGCCTTTGGTAGGTCTTCTGGCAAGCAGAATATCTTGTTGTGATGGAATGTAATCCTGGAAAAGAAAGTAGTTTTATACTTAGTATAAAACTAGTATATACCGAGAAGTAATTAATATGATTTTGAATATGTTACTAATTGGTCTACTGAATGGCTAGCAAAATGATCTTCTGAAAAACATTTTCTCACACATTAAAGCATCAAATACTGTTACTATCACTGTCATTTTAAAAAGGTCCAGGCATGCCTGAAATCCCAGCTGCTGAGGAGGCCCACGATATTTAGAAGCCTAAGGCAAGAGGATAAAAAATTTGAGGTTAGCCTAGGACATTTACCAGGACCTTGTTTCAAAATAAAAAATAAAAAGGTTAGGGATGTAGCTCAGTGGTAGAGTGCTTGCCTACCATATACAAACCCTGAAAATCAATCTCTGGTATTCAAAGGGAAAAAAGGACTGGGGAGAGAAATGAAAACACAAAGCAAGAATGGCTCAAAATGAACTGCCAACGAGCGGCATCCACCATTTTTTTTCATTCGCCCAATGCTGGTCGCATTTGAAGACTAATGCACCACTTGTGCTCTCCCGCCTCACCCCGAGTCTTACTTCCCATTATTACCCACTCACAGATCCAGCCACAGCGACGATCCCACTACTTCCACACTTAGCATTCCCACAATGCTCCTCTATTAAAACAGGATGAGACTCCAATGGGATTCATTAGCATCACTTTCCATGCTGCTTCTGACCACTGTGCTCTAGTCCATTCTAAACGCCCCTCCACTGTGCTCATCCTTGATAATGAAGGAGCAGGTCCATGCTACCACTGCTGCTACAGTCAATGTGGGGAAACACTTTCTCAACTACCTGGTCTCTTCACAAGCTTCATTCCTTTCATGACTCTGGTCGCAGACTGAGTTGGATGGATGAGAATGGAATCCAGTTCAATAGTAAGGTTCAATGTGGATGTTACGGGGAATTCTGGTTTGGTTCTCATCCAGTTTGGTCTGCAGAGTTTTGCTTGTGAACCGAGGAACTACTCTATAACCAACTAACCCCATGTACTTTGCAGTCACCAGCTAGGCTTGTTTCTAGGGCTTGTCCAAGTAGCTATGCTCCAGTCTTCTCATTTGTTGATCCAAGAGCTCAGAACTAGCCACTTAGTTGGAGTGTGAACACCCCTGCCTGTGAAATGGAACTAATCACAACTGGCCTATCCGCCTTGGACGGAGTGGCCATGCAAAGGTCAAGAAGGCCCCTGGAGTCGGAACAAAGGGTGGCTGCCAGCTACACCTTGCTGGCTCTTCCTTTTCAGCCCAGTACTTTTCTAGTGTTCATCCAGCTTTTTGGAAGTAGGTGAACAGGAGAAACTTTAATGTTCATTATAAAGGTCAAAATATTTTAAAAGCCAAGGCAGGATTTAAAAGTGTTGTTATTCACAATGCTGCTTATACTTTATGCTTTACCAAGTAGTGAAATACGATTTTCAAATTCTATCACAACACCAGTATTCATCTCCTAAAAATGGGGCACTGGTTTAGAAATAAGAAGAATAAGCAGTTTTTAGTTACTGGGAATCCACAACTATTCACAGCATGACTCTAGAGTTCCAATTAAAGTGTTAACTTTTCTCTGTTTCAATCTGGGTTCTCTTCACAGGCACACTTGTTTCCCTGGTGATCAGAATACGTACACCATTTCTAGCCTGTTATCATAATTTTCCTTAACGTTTTATTGTAATTTTTTCAATATGTTGAGACTGTGTTATCTCCTTTTAAAAGATTTTATACATTGCTGGGCATGGTGATGCATGCCTATAATCCCAGCACTCAGGAGGCTGATGCAGGAGGACTGCCTTGAATTCAAAACTAGGCTGGGCTACATAGTAAGGCTATGAGTTCAAAACTGGGCTGAACTACATAGTTAAGGCCATGTCTCAAAAACAAAAACACAAGGCTGTAAGTTCAATCCCTGGTACAAAACAAAAAGAAAAAAAAAACTCAAAAGATTTTACATACCAAAGGTATTAATGTGCTATAATTAACATTCCTCTATTGGTGGTCATTTAGGTTGATTCTAATTTTTTACTCTAACAGAAATACTGCAATTAAATTTCTCACACATTTTTCTGTTTCTACTATTTTCTAAGACAAAAATAATCAGTAATAAGATTATGAAGTCAAAGGTACAAATATTTTACTGACTTTGGACACTCATAGACTACTTTCCAAAAGGTGGTATAAATTTATTGTGAATGGCTATACCACCTATTTCAAGTGTGCCAGTTCTAAGGTATTTATGAAAAACTTCAGATTTCATAAAAAGTTCTCAGCTAGTGTGGTAGCATATATCTGTAATCCCCACACTCAGGAAGCTGAGGCAGGAGGATCACCATGAATCTGAGGCCAGCCTGGAATACATGGCAAGATTCTTTCAACCCCCAGTAGTTCTCTGTAACTGTCTTTATAACAAAATAACAATCTAGTTAGGAAGTTAAAGTTTCATGTATGAAGCAAAGCATACAGGACAGCGCGTCAAGTTCTAAATGTTTGGTAAGAGTAGTATATCTTGGGTTAGGAGTGTGATCTTACAGCCAGCTTTTAGCTGTGTGATCTCAGGGAAGTCATTTGACCTTTCTATGTTTCAACTTCCTCATGTGTGAAATGTAAGATAATATTCAGAGGGTTGAAGACTGAGTTAAACAGCTAAAGTGCCTCAGAATTGTGTTTGTCAAGAGTGAAGGGGAATCAGACGAGGGTGGAATGCCCAGATACACTTCCACTCAAGCCTCCCACTTTTAGGTGATGTTCCCCAGTCACTGCACCTGATAAACTATTCACAATCAAACAATTTACCTATCAGAAACTCGTTTTCCTCTGATCCCTCTAAGTGCCCTCAGAGTACTTTTTCTACCTCTTGCCTCACTAACTTAATTTCACGAAGACTCCTCATCACCTTGAACTTGTCCCTGTCAATGCCTATTTTGTATCAAAGCCTGTTGCTCCCTTACATCTCTGTTACATGTTCTCTTGATTCCTATACTGCTCCCATTTATCATCTCAGACATGGACTGGTTTTTGCCCCAAACATCTCACATCACTTGGACTCATCTCTTGGTTACTCCAAACCTCTTCCTAAATAACCCTCTTGCATCACGACTCCTGAACTTAGAATGTGACTGCTCAGTTGCATCAGACAGAACTCTACTCACTGGCTTGTTCTCTGGGATCTGCACTTGGTTCTGCATTGTTCAATCTCACCACTGGTCTACCATGAAGACCTTGCACAGAGCTCCACCTCTCATGCCAGTGTGTCTATTTGCACAACAATGCATGTGCAATGAAACAGAAAAAAAACTCAAGCCACTACCTTCTACAAATCTATGCTTATAAAAGTTTGAGCCAAGAACTTTGTATATCCTTCACCAGACAGACTTGTTTCCTAAAACCAAACCCATCCAACTGTTTCCCATCTGAGGGGGGGCCATATCTTACATACCTAAATCCAGTCCACCCTTCAGATATGTTAGGTTCACTTACTCTTTGGTGAACTAATATTATCTTCATGATTGGTATTATGTACTGTCTTCTACTTGTTTTATATACTGACTAGACTGAGTTCCTTTTTTTAGTGCATAGATCAAAGAATGAAACAGTTAACACTGGGCATTTATTACATGATTACTTTTTCAAGTATTATTTCATGAAATGTCCCATGACTCTAAGGACTGGGCTCTCCCAACCATGCCTATGTTATGAACAAAGAAACTAACTAATTTAGAGATCCTAAGGTCACACAGAGTCAGTCACTGGTAGAGATGGTACCGGAACTCGAGTAATCTTGCTGCAGAGCCCAGGTCCTTGACCCTTGTCCTGTTCCACCTTCCAGACTGGTACAGGGCAGTGGTGGTGACCTATGGCACGCGTGCTGTGCTAGGCTGTTTGCTATGATTCAAAGCTCTAAAAGCTTCCCTAACACTGGTATCAGAGCTTCACACAGAGCAGGCTTCAAACATGGCAAATACTCTTCTGTAATGTCCAATATCCACAATGGGTGGCAAGACGCAGTACACTCCACTTTTTTACAATTACATGCTGACTACAGCAGCCCTTTCTTTTTATTCCAGCTATGCTTCCACACTGTTCTCAACCTAACATTGTAAACAGCTATAACAAACTGGCCAGAGTTGGCCTAGAGCTCTCACTCAGAAGCCATCTGCTGAGTGCGACTCCATGTCATGCACCATCACTAGGCTCCACAGACTCACTTCCTGGCCCTTAGGGAAAGAGGTGGGTAGCACCCACTGTAGTACCTGCAATGAAGGGTAAAATGAGGGCTAATACTGGGCATTAAGAGGAAAAGACCTACTTGAATGGTGTCCATCAGAGGTAACTTGAGAAGAACAGGTGAAGCCGGTACTGCTTAGACAGGAAATCACCCTAAAACCTCACTCATCTACCAAGGCTCACCACCTCCAGTCAGCCTGTTCTAAATCATTTCTTTCTTTCTTTTTTTTTTTTAAGATTCACAATCAAATCAGAGGAAAAGAGCTAACAAGCTGGGGATACAGCTCAGTGGCACACTGCCTGCCTGGCAAGCATGAGATCCTGAGTTTGAATCCTGGTTCCAAAAAGAGATAATAAAGTAGACTTTAATACGAAGTTTCACTAATGTGGACTGAATGAAAAAAATATAATAAATTGTGGAGAGCTCAACTTCTGGGGATATACTTGTGTCTAGGAAATAAGCAAAACAACAACATACCATAGGCTTAAAGGCAAATGCAATTTAGAAAAATTCGGACAATGGAAAATCAACCTGGAAAGAAAAAAACCTGCACTGTTTCACATGTCCTAAATACATTAGTATGTTACTTTTCTTTCTTTCTTTTTTTTTTTTTTTTTGTCTTTTTCCTTTTTATCAGTACCAGGGATCGAACTCACGACTGCCTGCTTGCAAGGCAGGTGCTTATGCCGCTGAGCTAAATCCCCAGCCCCAGTATGTTACTTTTCTACTTGGAACAGGTTCATTTTGTGCTTTTCGTAAGTTATATTTTTAGTTTTTACAACCTCAAAGAATCCATAAGACTATATTAACATTGTAACAGGAACTTGAGGAGGCAAATGAAGCTCTACTAAATTTAATGCATAATAAATGGCTTTAGGGCAATGCATTCAAAACATTTATGAACTCTTCTGCATCTAACAGAGTCCACACAGTGGCCCTTCACACCCATCGTGGGTCCTGGCACACCAGTGCCAGATGAGTGTTGCTGGCTCTGAAAGTGATACTCTGAGAAGAATACACTGTTGCCTCCACAAGCAAGCCTTTCATACTAAAACTCAACACACTGCACGGGAAAATAGCAATGGCCGAAAGGTTTGAAAATCTATCAACCCACTGTGTTCTTTCAATTTCTGCTTTAAAAAGCCCCCAACATCAAAAGATAATAATGTATGATTTCATTTCCAAACATAAATCTTCATGGTTTTACCTCCATGCAATAGGAGACAGGACAATTCTTCAAGGAAACTGACAGAGGCCTAAATAGTGTGTGTGTATGGGGGGGGGGGGAGGTGTCATAACTTTTATTTTGGAGAAAAAAATTTCAATATTATCAGCTTCTAATCAACCCAAGTCAGATTACTGCCACTAGGAAAAATGAAGAGTCAAACTGCTTATTACATATTTCTACATCTCCCAGCTAGCTGCCCCAAAATAAAATCACTTTGACTACCGCTTTTGGTATCACTAATTATATACATCCAGTTTTAAAACTTACTGGCTCTCCAAGTTTCTCCAAGTTATCCAGGAAATATTTTACAGATTCACCCTAAAAACAAAAAGAAAACAGTTATGAGGTTTAGAAATGGATGATATATTACATTGTCTGCTTGTATACTCACACCAAACATAGCTGGGTTAGTCATCAATTCAGACTGAACTGCGGACTCTTCTTAAAAACGTACAGAAGTACAACTCTGCAAGAGATGGGTAAGTTCACAAATGCTTTCCATACAAGACACCAAAAGTGATCACCTATTTGGATGAGATTACACACATGCTTCTGGACAGAACCCCATATCTAAAGGGAATATGTAATTAAAATACGAAAACTGCTTTTGAGATAACATAAATCTATAAGCAAAATGTGAGACCATTTCTGCTTACATTTTGTATCTACAGCAATAGTAGATCTCTTCAGGAAAAAGTGTCAGAACGAATCAGACACAAGGAGAGAATATACATCTCTCAGGAGTAAGCACGTGCCTGCGTGGACACAGTGCTCCAGGAGACTGAGTGCCCTGCAGGTTTCCCGTCTCCAAAACTAAAACAGCATCCAGTGTCTTCTTTTGCGTGGCTGTGCTTTCAGAACCCAGATTTCTATTAGAACTACAAGCAATTTCTTTTTTTTTTTTTTTTTTTCTACAAGCAATTTCAAACGGATAAATTGTATGACAATAAAGTCCTGTGACCAGAGGACATAAGAGGGAAACGTGTTACAAGAGAAAAGGCTCTGGGTCTGTCTCCCATTGCTCACTCCCCACAGGGCCACTTTTCACTGGGTCCTGCTGCTGCCACACTGGCCCATCTGCAGCTGCTTCCATATCCCAGGAGCTGTAGCTTCTGAGGGTGCAGGAGAACCATCTAAACCCAGTCCTCGCTACAGAGGACTACAGATTCTCAGTTAGTAGTGCTGGGCTGGGGCTCCAGTTTTTGTGATCCAGAGGATGCTCAGGACCACACTCTGCATCACAAGAACCTACAGAAGCAGTTCTCAGACATTCTGGACCCAAGAAACCTTCATGTGTTTTAACATTCTCGAGGACTCCAAAAAGCTGTTGTTTATGTGGGTTATGGCTATTAATATTCACCAGACTATAAAGTAAAACTGAGAAATTTTAACATACACTAAGTGCCAGTACATAATAAGCCCATTACATGTTAACACATTTTGGTATGGCTTAATACATGGCAGCAGGACTCTGCACCTGAACTGTTACAATAGGTTATTTTGCTTGAAACAAATGAAACCTTGGCCTTACACAAAAATGTCAATGGAGGAGAATAACTGTAAATATTCTTTGTTATTACAATAAAATTACATCACTGGTAGTTTCTTAAAAGCTAGTTCTCTGTAGAACTGGAAATCCTATAAGACAACTTCACACTGTTACAATTCAGTGTCCTGCACTCTGACTGGATCTTCTACCCACCTACAACTCTGTAATATCAAACACTGGTTGTTTAGAATATAGTAAGTCACTAAGTTATGCAGATCTTAACAATGTTGGTATGTTTCATTACACAATACTTTAAATTTTCACTTGAAGTCACTGGTAACAAAACTCTCAGTTATTCTATCACAGGTTAACAAAAACTCTTGGGTTATTTTCCTTGAAACGGCAGGCTAATGTCTTTCATCTTATGAAAAATGTCTATCAAATGCGTAAGTCTGAACGTCAGCCATCCTTTCAGGTAAAAACGGTGCTCCATGAAAAATGTAGCTAGTGCATCTCTCAAAGGATCCAGTCAACCTTGTCCTACGCTGGGAATCAATGGTGGCCAACCTATGGCACGGAAGTGTTACTTTTAAGACAAAAGATACTAATGTATGTGTTCTTTTATCTGAACTAAAATCTCAGTGTTGGGGTTTAATTGCAGTGCCGGCACTCTGAAATAAATAAATGGGTTCTGGGTTGCAGTCTGGGCACTTGTCTCTAAAAGGCTCACTACTACTACTGGAGACCATCATCTTTCTTCCAGAGTGGTTTCACTGGACCTCTCAGTTAAGCACAGAGAATACTGGATAGATATTACTTGACGGGAGAGGACTTAATGTAATTAACGACTTTACTGTTCCAGCAAGGGTAGTCTCAAGAGAAACTGGATAGGCATGCAGGGTGGGTGGATGAGGTCAGGGCTGTTTCTGGGGTTCTTTCTAGGTCTTAACTGATATGCAGCAGCAAAGAACACGATCAGTATACAGTTTGAAACCATGTGTGCCAAGGTGCTGGCAGCCTGGGCCATTTCATCCCTGTCTATTCTGTACCATTAGTGCAAGTGTCAACGTAGTGCAAAACTAAAACAGTATCCAGTGTCTTTCTGAGGTGTTTCCAAATCAAAGATCCCATGGAGGCATCCTGAGGAGTCTGTGGACTACATGTTGAGAAAGGTTACTTTAAAATATAGAGCTCAGCAGCGTAAGTGCCTACCTGGCAAGCATGAGGTATGAGTTCGATCCCCAGTACCAGAAAAAAAAAAGAATAAAACATAGACAGGTTAGCCAGGTGTGGTGGCGCATTCAAGGCCAGCTTGGGTTACAAAGTCAGCTCAAAACCAGCCTGAATTGCACAGTGAGACCCTGGCTCAAAAAAATAAAATAAAAATAAAATAATCAAAAAAGGTACTAATATCTTAGGTATACCTTATATACTGAAGGAAAACATGTATGCATGTATAATAGGATAGAGAATGAATGATTTTCAAAGGATTATAAGTAGTGGTCACTGATACTACTTTTTTTCTGGGCCTGAGAATACTCATACAGTATTTATAGCATGTGAAACATGACTGTTCAGAGAAAAGAAAAATAAAATTGTTAACAATTCATTTTGTATTAACAGATTATCTGGTCAAACACAAATGAATAATTGAATATTTTGTATTTCATCACCCATCTTAATGAAAAAAACATTGTTTTCATGTTATAATCAATAACATGGCCCAAGGGGAATCTGGTCTTCATCTTTAAATAATAAAATCACTATTAATTATAGGCTTGTTGGTGTAACTCTAATAACTATTAATACTATCATTCAGAGCCAAACACAGCTAACACTTGAAGATATTTCCTTCTAATTATTTTATATTTAATAGCTGAAGTCACAGACAACTAATTGTCTGTGTATCCTAATTTTTTACTTATGTAAATATAAATAAATTTTAGTAGCTATAATAACTTAAGTACATACTAGAAAAGTCAAAAGTCACTACTCTAATGTCAGGATGAGCAGTTTTGTGTACACCACTCTGTGTACTTTTTGGATTATGTTCATGGCAATCTCAGATGACTATGGCAGTGGTTAAACATTTTTAAGATGCCCGCTACACACTACCACATGGGCTGGAAACCAATGGTGGCTCTTCCTAGCAATTCAGGTGAAATGGTGAGTTTATTCTTCGACAGTAAATCTAGATGAAGATAAACTAAACTCAAATCATACAAAAAGTATTCTGCAGATTCTTCTATAGTTAACTGAAGTATAGACATGGAGAGGCTCATGATGCTTAGCATTTAGGGATCCCAGAGTAAGAAAGCTTGGCTTAAAAGAGAAAACCAGCCCTATACCCAAAGCAAAAAAAAGTCTATTCAAAAACATATTTCCATTAGTATTGCTTATCTGAACTGACTGTGGGATAAATGAGTCAATTTAATATGAACATGTTAATATCTGCAGCAGCAACAGTCTTCTCTCTTTTTGTTTTTGAGACAAGGACTTGCTATGCAGCTGGGGCTAGCATTGAGCTCACGGGCGGCCTTAGCCTGTACAGTGCTGGGATAACAGGCATGCACCACCATGCCCAGCTTTCCCCCTTTCTAAAGTAAATGCTTACATTCAACCACTGTGAAGGTGCAGAGAACTGGTGCACCCATTTTGGTGACCATGCAAATTTACACAAACCTCTACACAGTTCGGAGTAACAGCCTCTGTAAGATGCTTCACAACCTTTGGAACATTCTAAGGAACTTAGCTTAAACAAAGTGACCTGTACAAAAGGATATTTACATAGTGCTACTTATAACCATAAAACCTGAAGGTGTATTCTTCCACTTAGCATTCAGGCACTAACAATACATTCTGGTATACTAACATCATAAAATATGGTAAAAATCAATTATTTTGCTGCAATGGTCTAAATCAAGTAATCATATTTGTACATATACTATATTTATACCATTAAGTGAAGGTCTACAATCTTGATCAGTAAATCTTGTTTTTTGTTTTACAAGCATGGCACAACACTTACCTGGCAGGAAAACCTGCCCTGAACTAATGTTAGGATCCTCATAATCTTTATTTATCGTATACAGCAAAACTATTCCACCGTTTTACAGCACAGAAACAATGGCTATTCGACAGGAAAATGTATGGTTATAACTTTCTGACCAAAAATAGTTCTGTAACATATCTGGACTCAGAATTTGAGACTATGGACTAAATTTAAGAATTATATTTAATTTTATTTACAATACAGGCAAAAGACATGTGATTTAGTTTGTACTGTATTAAAGTGAAATGGGTATCAAGGATGTCAAACTCACACATTTCTAGTAAGAAATCTACAAGGAAGCATCTTTGGACTCCATTTTTAAAACCTTCTGAACACGACTTGGAGCTGGCAGAGTAGGCTGTGGCCGAGAACTTCAGCACAACCATCAACACTGCCGCTCAAGAAATGACAAATTTATGTTTATTCCAAGGTGTAAACACTATTCTTTTCTTTCTTCCAAATAAAAAGACCATTAACTTAAAGGGGTTGGGGTACATAACTGTGGGTAATATTCTTTTCAAAAAGAAAAAGCAAGGATTTAGAAATTTATAAACTGACAAAAATCAAGCAGTATTACAGAAAAATGGATTATAGAAAAATTATTAAACCAGCTTCTACAGAAGTTACGTCAGTATAACTTATAAAGTCTGTGCATTCAACACTAAAAAAATTATTTATAGGTCTGTTACATCTGAATGTATGAACTATTTTTAAGATTTTGAGTTCCAAATGAATCAGTTCTGCCAAGTGACTACATTTTGCAATCTTTTCCACCAC